CATCCGTCCCATGAAAAAAGGTTCTTTATGAGAGGTTGTTCCTTTATAGAGGGTTCTTTTATGGAGGTTCGACTGTAATAGGAATAGAAGATTTGGTACTTTCGCAAAACCTGTCTACTACTATGGTGAACTCATTCGACAACAAGCGCAGGTCATCTAGTCCAAGAGTGGCATTGAATGTGATGGGCATGCCTTCGGTGTTTGTTGGATCGTCATACATGCTCAGTCTATCCCAAAAGAACGTCACCTTGCCATAAAGAATTTGCGCTTCGTCGATCAGTACGTATGTCATGACATTACAATTGTAGCAATCAGTCCACATCGTCCCTGTGCGTTCCTCCCAGAAAGTATCGAAAGAGATGGCATCCTGATGTCCTGAGTTCTCCAATAAGCCGAGCATCGTAATGCTCACAACCGTATAGCCTTTTTTTTCTAGGTGCTTTCCGAAGAGATCGATAAGCGTTGTCTTGCCTGAACCCGGTGGACTTCGCAACAAGACGATATGATTATCATCTATGTAATTGTTGAGTTTCGCCATACGTTCGTCAGAGATATGACAGAGTTTATCAGAACCCTCGTCAAAGGGTGAAAGTTCATTCGATTTGCGTTTCCGATTCGCTGAGACAACTGCAAATATGATGCATGGATGGAGATATATGAGTGCGGACAAAAGATAAGTCAACTACGGTTGTGGTAACGTCCCAACAACCACCTTATACCATTTAATCTGCCTTATATACACACTACTCTATGTCCCCAACGCCCGAGGCATACAATGTTGAACTATTTTATGATAGAACTTACTTTGGTTGTTTAAATTATTAATCAAGTTGACAAGCTTAGCTCTTGGTCCCATTCGAATGTTACATTCTTTAAACCTTTCTTCGTTTAACATAAGAAAGCTATCACCATCAATCTCCTGATCACGTAAAATTTGAATTTCATTTTTGTTAAGCCCCAAGCTTTTTCCATTTAAGAAAGTGATAAGAGCTTCCGCGTCAAATTCTTTCACGACTTTGTACAAAGTATTATCAGTAGTAGCACTTGTAGACATTTCGACTTGAAAAAAAATATAGTGGGGACAAAATTGCAGGACACTTGCAGATTATCGAAAAAATTATCGCATACTAAACTTTTATTTTTACTACGATGCTCTAAGCAAAGTCCAACTTAGTATAACACTTTTTTTGCCGTGGTGTGCCTCATTTTATTATTACCGCGACCAATTAAGTAAAAATAAATCGATCAAAGAAATGTTAGAATGATTACCACTTATTGCTGGCGGAATTCATGCTCTAAATTTTAGCCAAATAATAATCCACAAATTTAATCCGCACTGAAATAAGAATAATAACCAGCACAATAGTCAGGCTCAAAATCAAGCCAATAATTTACAAGAGCAAGTGAATCAGTGAGAAACTAACACGAGAAAGATGATAGATTACTGGATTATTTAAGAGAAGCCGAACTATTTAGCACTGAATTTTTAGCCGAAGCAGTAAAATCCAAAAAGAAAAAGGGAACCGCGATGACTGATGATTAGGATGTTTGTTAGAAGATAAATTTCTTTTGCTCTCTCCTCTCTGCTGGCCAAACGTCAATAGCCCAAATTCTAGAGAATATTTTAATTTGGTCACGGAATATTCATAGTATTAGTGGTAAAAAGACAACAGTAAAAAAAAGTTGTTCGCCGTTTTTTCTAATAACAACAACTACAACTACAACTACAATACAACTACAACTACAACGACAATAATAATAGCAACAAGTCGCTCGACTATTAATTACAGTTCAAATCTCAATCCGATCATTTTCTTACCTCCCGTACATTAGCATTATATATTCTTATCAAAATGATCGTGCGAAAAAAACAAAGAAAATATAAATATATATATATATATATATTAATATATATCTATATAAAAAACAGAGTTTATAAAAAATTACATTACAAAAAACGCTAAGCAGTCTAAAAAACACACGCGGGACAGTCCCAGCAACACCGCGATGACCTATTTGAATGAATTCTTTGTCAATTTCTTCCAAAAAAGAAGAATATCCATCTTGCTTACTACTGATTAAAAATAATAATTTCTTCGCTCGAGTAATACCAACATAAAAAAGACGTTTTTCTTCTGAATATACAGTATGTTAGTCATAGTGTATCAATTCCATAATTCTCACGTATCAAAAGCTAATCATTTGTTTCAGCAAAATGAAATGAGCTTATTACAATCCGAACTTTTCATTTTCTTTTAACATTCGAAAGTAGTTGATCTTTTTTTCCTGGCAACCCCTCTGACAAATATGGAGTATAATCATCAAAGAGAAAGGTCGGTCCAGAAGGCTCGCGCGAGTTCAATCAATTTCACGATAACGATATGACAAGTTTATTAGATTCGGTTCACTATAGACAGCGTCAACTGTATGTCGGTATTTTCTGCACCAGAAGGTCAGGCCGCAGTTTTATTATCATAAGTAGATCAATGGCTTTATTGTCAAGCTACGTGCTAAACGATAGATTCCTAACTTTTAGAAATAAATGTATTTTTTCGCTATTATTATAGTATCGAGAATTCCATTCCATATTCTAACCATGTCACTACGTCTTTACCAATTATCATGACATCACTAATGTAATTCTCATGTACAAGTATTGTATGATAGCTATGTCTCCAGTAGAACACACACTAGTGTTCTGGCATTTACGTAACTGTGTGATAACTGGATAAACTTAGTAAATATCAGCATTCATTATAATCACGTTGTATAACAAAATATTTGGGCCAAGCCCCGTTCGGAACGGGGCCAAGTCACAGAACATACTTACAATCCCAATTGATCAACAATATCTACATTGTATAATCCCATCTTTCTTGTGAACAAAAAATTAAGCTCTACAGACAATTAAAATATAACACTGCCTCCATTAAACATATTCCACCAATTTATATGCATACAACCACTACTTTATGAATCAATCCTCCCTACAACTAATTAACACAAATCTCTGTGAAGCAGATCTCAAGCATCTCTAGTTATTTTATTAAAAATCACATAAAAAAGGCTAATTCAAAACCTTATTTACAGTGATTGATATAAGATGCAATCCTGTTTTAAATTTTACAAGTTATTCATTAACACAATAAACCCTCCTGCTAATTAGACGATGCAAGCCTACTCTCAACACAATAAACAGACAGCTCAACTCTGCATCGTGTTGTCTTTTTAACAGATCTAAATATTCATTGCTTTTCTTTTTAATCTTCGATTCCAAAGCTTCATGAACTGTCTTTTGATTTGGCCGGTATCTATCACTAATTTTAAGGCTTAAAATTTCATCCTCTGATTTTTCCAACAATGATCGTGAAACATCAGTTGCTTCCTGCCAACTACCTTGAGCTCCGTTCAATTTAACATTCTCCATCTTGATATTATCAAATTCGATTGCCATCATTTTTCTGGTACTTGTCTTCACTAAATCAATTGCTTTCCCCCCAAAACTTGAGCTCTGAGAATACACCTGAAATTCTGGTTCAATGTCTGCATGGAGAGTGAGAATTAAAGTATCCATAAAAGCTTGTTTCAATGCCTCTTCATTTGAATGTTTAACACTATTGTCCTTCAATGGCTTAAGCAAAGCTTTCTCTATAAATTGGCAAAGAGGTTCAATGTTATATTCTGCCTCCAAAATCTGCAAACAATTCTGTACAGGTATTAAATCCTCCTTTTTCCAGTCATAAATCTTAAGCCCCTCTGCAATAAACTCTCTCTCTGCAATACGATTTGGGATTTTAAATTCGTGTTTTAATGAGGATGGGTGATATGTAAGGGCACCAGTATAGAACATGAATGACAATAACGGGGTACGATCAGTTGCTAGCTCACGAATATTGGTGAGTCGAAATCATTGTTCTATGCCATTTCTAGATTTGAGAGGGCATCGATTGAGTGCTTCAGTAAGGATGGATTTTCCAAGGGGATTGTTAACAATTAGGTCCAATGTTGTTTGAGAGGGCAATGTTTGTGGATCAGGAGGAAAGCCAAGAAGTTTTTTGATGATAGTTGAAGTATCTTGATAATCATTGTCTATAAGTTTCTTTTTTTTCCCCATCAACATCTCAATACAGTATAAGACACGAGCAGGGTTAAAAATACCTTCAGTCTGATCAGAGTTAAAAAAATACTCATCATTTTCCTCCTTTAACCATTCCATTATCCCCCCCTTAACATCTGATGGCAAACCAAGAGAATTGTCTAAGAGAAGTTCAATTTCTGACTTCTTGAACCCATACAAGTCCCAAAATTCTTCTCTTAATGCTAGATCTTTTGAAATATTAAAACCCGAGGTGAACTCAGTCATAACGACAGGAGTCACACCAGTTTGGAAAACACGAGCTATGCCTTCATCACAAGCATACTTCAAACGACTGTAGAATTGTTTGAACGAACTCTCAATTTTTTCGACTTTACTTTGAACTGAAGTACTATGATGAGCAATAAGAGGTTGTAAGATGGTTTCGTTTTTAAGAGCCTCGTTCATACCAGCATCGTATTCATCGATGCAAACATAGAGCTAAAGATGCAAAAGAATATTGGTTTAGTATTTATTTTTTTAATAGAAATGATAACTGAATAAAAGACAAAATACCTTGCGACCACTTAATTGTACTGCTTCCAATAACATCATAAAATTGTTTAAAGCACTTTTATTTTCATTAACAGGCCGGAAATAATCCCCCAACTCTTGTCGATATCGGTTCATAAATACTGACATAAATCTATTTAAACTTTCGTGAAAGTCCTCCTCAAAGATTTCGAATGTTGAATTGATACGAAGTCCAGCAAAATTGAGTTTCAGAACAAGGAACGAGGATGCTAATTTTGTAGGGTTTTTGCCGATGTATAAATCCGCGAAAAGTTGTTTGAATCGTTCTCTGTTTTTTATGTCGTAATAGGAGGACAAAGTAGAGAGGAATAGTGATTTTCCAAAACGACGAGGACGTAGGGAGAGTATGGCACGAGCTTCAAGATCTTCTATTTTAGTGATGAAGTGAGTCTTATCTCGATAATAACCACCACTCTCTCTTAACTCAGTGAATGACCCTGTTGAAACTATCTTGAGGGGGTTTGAAGCAATTGAAAGGAACCGAGGAAAGAGGTGTGAAAGTGGAAAATGAAAAGAGCGAGGTCGAACAAGTTTTCTTAGAAATGCCATCCTTGCCCAGTAAAGTGTGTTGTACGAGAAGTTAAAAAAATAAACAAATTAAATCGGGTTCTTAATAAACAAACGGTGATACAAAAATTACGTAGTTAAATCGAAATCCGGCTGGGAAGTGATAACGTATCAGTATAGTAATTAGCAGAATTTTATTAGCTTAGCCAATTTTATATTTAGCCAACCTATCGAAATTAGCTTATTTTATATATATTTAGCTATCCCAAATTCTTAAGAGATAGCGTCCAAAATCACAGAATTGTGCGAGGAAGGCACATTTCAATTTGAAGTTTCCAAATTTTACGCATGTATTACCAAATTTTAGTTTTACTCTTTGTACTGTCACAGAAAAAGCGACGCACTAATATGATCAAGAATGGCTCAATTGAAATCAGTGAACAAAGGGATAAAGCGCCAAGATCTGTTAGATGGAAGGTTGTGGAAGAATCTGATGAAACGATGTTAATGGAGAACCAAGCTAAAGAGGTAACCCAGCACTACTGTTGTGCAGCCATTCGGCCAAATGGTTATACAAACAGAGGCTGCCTCCTCTCTATCGACTTATCTTCTTCAAGATACACTTACAGTGGTCGTCATAAATATCCGGAATTTTGATCCGGTGCAGAAAAAGTCACGTAGCATAACCAATTTTGAACCAA